GAGTTCAAGCCCTGCCCGCGGGTAAGCATGGTACCTACGTACAGGCCCGTGAAAAGTTCCTTCCGGATAAGTTAATTACTCAAGAACGTGAGAAGCTAGAAGGTTGGAATTTTGAGGGGATTTTTCCTGACAGTTCTGACGGCCAGTCTGAAATTCAGCTAGAAGCATCTGCCGAAAAACCTATGCCGGTAGCGACAAAAACCTGCGGGGAACTCTGCAAAAAACGCATCTTTGCAAGGGCAGCCTGTGCGTTGGCCATTTATTTTTATTTACTTTCTAGTGTGTTCACAGTGAAATCACATAAATCGTCTTAAAAAAAAAAGTATCAGAGAGAGGAAGTACCACACTGATAAAAATTACCTGCCTCTTAATAATAAAATCATTTATTGATAATAACAAAACCACTAACTGTCTATTAATAAAACGCCTATCAATAGGCGGTGATTAAAAAAAAATCTACTGATAAACACTTACCTTACTGATAAACACTCAAAATGATTTTAAAAAAACCAATGTTAACAGAAAAGGTAATTTTTCGATACAAAAAAAGAATATGGGAACCTTTGTTGTTCAGCCGGAACACCTGTCGGATTGTTTCCATAATGAAATCAACATTCTTATCCGGCTCCAGGAATACCAGACATCGCCTTCCTCGCTCTTTGTTCACATTCGATACAAAACAAAACACTCCTCTAATTTCTTCCTGCAAAATCGTCAAATTAGATTTCGAAAACGCTGCACGATAAGGGGCGATCCCCATACGCATAGGGTATTTTTGTGGGTTTTACCCAGATCTCTTTTCGGGTCTTTGCAGTGTGCCTTAATGTAAAAATAGTTCATATATTTAGGTCATCTATAGTTTAAATCATACTACAAAAATAAAAATTTCATTTTTACTTCAAACTAAAATTTAAAATTTCAGCCTTTCAGGGAAATTTTATTCGTCTTCGCTGGAAGGCACTCGGAAGTATGGCGACGGCAGCAAGTGTCAACAGCAATCATCAACTGACAGGCATAGTGATAAGAAAAATGGTGTAACGATAATACAGTAATTCATATTAATGATAACACTGTAGCATAACGAAACACACAGGAAAAATACACTGAGAATTATTATTGAAAATGCAAGTTATGATAAGAAAAGACTGTTGGATTGCTAAGAAGTGACCAAAAACTTAATGACGTACCTCACAGCAAAAGATAACCGAAAAGCTGGTGAGCTCAAAAATGAGTTACTAAGAAAATTATGCATGAACGACTAAATGAAACGGACGAATAAATGAAACGAAAGAACGAAAGGAAATGTGTGAAATGGGCTACAAATAACTAAGTCGGGGCGCAAATGTAAATCGAAGCTCAATCTAGGTGTAAGATTATCAGCTGAACAACAAATATTCTGACAAAATTTCAGCTACTACTTTCCGGCTAGTTTCCAAGCTGGCACAGTGCTAACTGCGAAACATGACAGAAATGGCCAAATATATTGAACTGGATGGATTGAATAAATGGATTGAATGAATGATTGGAATGGGATGAATCACTGGACGAACGAGTTTGATTAACTCATGGCTGCTTTCAGTTTACTTGCTTTTTTATGCTTTTTATGCTGTGTAACAGCAGTACAAAGCGCATATTGTCACGGGGTTGTCTGTGTGTGTCCGCAGCAACTAGTCCGCAACTTTCAACTCGGGAACCACAAAAGCTAGGAAGCTGAAAATTAGGGGAACATTCCCCACCCACATGTGACCTCGCAAGTATAATTTCAGCTTCCCCTTACCCGCGG